GAACATACATCAGAACCAACAAACAGTACCTGAACATACATCAGAACCAACAAACAGTACCTGAACATACATCAGAACCAACAAACAAGACCTGAACGTACCCCAGAACAAACAAACAGTAACTGAACATACATCAGAACCAACAAACAGTACCTGAACATACATCAGAACCAACAAACAGTACCTGAACATACATCAGAACCAACAAACAAGACCTGAACATACCCCAGAACCAACAAACAGTAACTGAACATACATCAGAACCAACAAGCAGTGAACATACCCCAGAACCAACAAACAGGACCTGAACATACCCCAGAACCAACAAACAGTACCTGAACATACCCCAGAACCAACAAACAGTACCTGAACATACCTCAGAACCAACAAACAGTACCTGAACATACATCAGAACCATCAAACAGTACCTGAACATACATCAGAACCAACAAATAGGACCTGAACATACATCAGAACCAACAAACAGGACCTGAACATACCCCAGAACCAACAAACAGTACCTGAACATACCCCAGAACCAACAAACAGTACCTGAACATACCTCAGAACCAACAAACAGTACCTGAACATACATCAGAACCAAACAGGACCTGAACATACTTAAACCAACAAACAAGACCTGAACGTACCTTAAACCAAAAAATATTACCTGAACGCACCTCAGAGCCAACAAACAGGACCTGAACACACCTCAGAATTAACAAACAGTACCTGAACGTACCTCAGAACCAACAAACAGGACCTGAATGTCCTTAAACCAACAAACAAGACCTGAACGTACCTTAAACCAAAAAATATTACCTGAACGCACCTCAGAGCCAACAAACAGGACCTGAACACACCTCAGAATTAACAAACAGTACCTGAACACACCTCAGAATCAACAAACAGGACCTGAACACACCTCAGAACCAACAAACAGTACCTGAACATACATCAGAACCATCAAACAGTACCTGAACATACATCAGAACCAACAAATAGGACCTGAACATACATCAGAACCAACAAACAGGACCTGAACATACCCCAGAACCAACAAACAGGACCTGAACACACCTCATAATTAACAAACAGTACCTGAACACACCTCAGAACCAACAAACAGGACCTGAACACACCTCAGAACCAACAAACAGGACCTGAACACACCTCAGAACCAACAAACAGGACCTGAATGTCCTTAAACCTACAAACAAGACCTGAACGTACCTTAAACCAAAAAACATTACCTGAACGCACCTCAGAACCAACAAACAAGGCCTGAATATACATCAGAACCAACAAACAGTACCTGAACATGCATCAGAACCAACAAACAGTACCCGAACATACATCAGAACCAACAAACAGTATCTGAACATGCATCAGAACCAACAAACAAGGCCTGAATGTACCTCAGAACCAAAAAACAGAACCTGAACATACATCAGAACCAACAAACTGTACCTGAACATACCCCAGAACCGACAAACAGTACCTGAACATACTTCAAACCCAACAAACAGTACCTGAATGCACCTCAGAACCAACAAACTGTACCTGAATGCACTTCAGATAAAATAAACATTACCTTAACATACCTTTAAAACCAACAAACTGTACCTGAACATACCTCAGAACCAACCATAAAACGCAGACTCAGAGAATGGATTCCCACCTGAGTCTGAAAAGATTCCCTGGATCCTTGTGGTTCATCAGAACCAGGGTTACTGTTGACGTTATGCTTGAATTACTGCATGCATCAATCCACGCAGTGAAGCAAAACTGGAAAGATTACAGATTACGCAGTGAAGCAAAACTGGAAAGATTACAGATTTTAATCGCTGTGTTCACTCTAAAAGCATCACAAGAAGAAACCAATGATTCTGCATCGAGAAGAAGCTCGGTCCGTGAGTCCAGTCCACAGAACCAACCTAACGTAAGGCCAGAATCTCACTGGATCAACAGATTGTGTTGAAGAAAGTTTCCAAAATGTCCTGAAATGTTCTCGAGGGTCTCCGTTTTCCACATTTATGTTGAAGAAATATTGATCATGTTGGTTAATTTACAAAAAAATTTTCTTCAAAAAATGTAGGAAAACACTTTTATTCAGAACCAGTTGGAAGGAACGGTGTACTTTAATTCAAGGAATAAAACTATGGAATAATTTGGGGAGTGATTTAAAAAACGCAGGATCATTATGTACATTTAAGAAAATGATAAAAGTTGGATTGCTAAAGAAATACGAAACAATATGTGTATCTATATAAATTGTTGTTCCAGAGGGATTAGATGTTCTTGTCTTTTGTTAATAACAGATTTTTTTGTTATATGAACTTATTCTTGAAAAGGGCAGATATAAGATTTTTTCTTCTCTCTGCTGCCTTTCATTTTATTTTATTTCTGATTTTGATATACAT